GAGAGAGAGAGAGAGAGAGAGAGAGAGAGAGAGAGAGAGAGAGAGAGAGAGAGAGAGAGAGAGAGAGAGAGAAGGGGCAAGTTTTTGGTGCTGGTTTGCTTGTTTCCTAATGAGGACACCATGTTTTGTGGAACCTCTCATAATAGGTTTGATTTTGCAACTGCGAAGGATCAAGCAAGCAATCAAGAGGACGCTGACAGAGAAAGAAGTAGACAGGTTAGTGCAACGAGTCCACTTCAGCACTCCTGGTTTCATATTGCTGAAAGTTGTGTGAAAATAGAACTACTAATCAGGAGCGACACTGTGTCATATTTTGGATAGAGTGCTCTGGTCTGTGGAAGGAAACCGTGAAAAAGAATCACAAATCACAAGTACATCGCGTGGACTCATCGCCAAAAGAAGGCAAAAAGCAGGAAAAACGCTCAGATGATCACACATGCTCGAAACAATGACAAGATAGAAGTTATGTTGGAGGAAAAGGAAACTACCTCCCCTTCACTCCTCCATTGCCAAACAACAACAGCATTACGTTCAAGTGCAGTGTCAGCCTTCTCTCCTAATCACTGCCGAATGGATCAGACATGCCCTATAAGTAGCCTACGGGTCGCCTACTCTAGATTCACCGCTTGTCCATCAATGGCACTCCAGTGACTCAACTAATGCTGTTGGACCAAAGCCAGACGGAAGAAGGTTCTGAGCTGAAGCTCCAATGCAAAAAACACTAATGTGTCTCTTCTCGTCCTCTACCATTGCTCTCCTCCTGCACCAGTACCTAACTCGTGTGCACCCACTCCACATGCAGGACCTCCCAAATGCCAGAAAACCTCCTTCGTCCTCCCAGTGCCTAGCTATGATGGCATTGAGCTTGGTCTGACATATTTTCCCATCTATTCCTCCCCTGGTTGACATTGAGCTTGGCTTGACATCTCTTCCCAGTTCATGAAGAAAAGCATTCCCTTCATCTTCCTTTATGAGTGCTGTACGGCGTACGCTGCTGTCCTCTCTGGTTAGCACCTTGGGTTATTGGCATAGGAAGGACATAACCTGTGTAAGTGCATCCCACAAATCCATATGTCGTCAATTGTTCTACAAGCTCCTTGATACGAGCTCATCGGAAAACGAGTCTTGGTTGTATCATCCTTCACTATACTTGTCCTTCACTTTTGAGGTGCTTGAATGTCACAATCCCCTTCTCTTTCCGCCGCACTGTTAGGAGCAACCCTTGCAGTGTGAGCTTTTCGCTCCATTTACATGGTGGCAGCATGACGATGAGCATGGCAGCATGTATTGACGGCACTGCAGTTGAGTTTTGGGCATGCTGCAGTCAGTCATCACCCTGTGGAACAACACCCACACTATGCACTCGCCCCTACCACTCCCATCCCCTACTTTCTCACCTCCCGCCTGTCTTCTTCAAAAATTGTCAGGTGTCCAGGATTCTTCTGTTGCGGAGAAGTTTTCATCATTCGTGTGTGTGGTGGTTGCAGGTTGTGAAAAAGTTGCATCAGATCTTACGGCCATTCTTACTGAGGCGCTTAAAGGAGGATGTGGAGAAGTCTCTTCCACCAAAGAAGGAGATTATCCTTTATGCCAGAATGACAGAGCAACAACAAGTCATTTATCAAAATCTTGCAAAGAGGACACTTGAGGAGTACATTCAGACTGTTGCACCAGGTATTTCTAACTTCAGCCCACCCCCGTCCCCTCAACACCCCCCCCCCGGCCCTTCCCATGACACAACCTCTTGATGAGTCGGTGAAAGTCAGACGGAACAGTCTGGCACAGTCATGCTTTTTTGTTCATAGCTAACATGATAACACACACACATGAAGTTGACCACTTTCTCAAGGGTCTCTCTTACTCTGGCTGACATGGTGAGCCCTCGTCCGTCAGTCAAATGCATCCTGGGCAGACTGTCGGGGTTCAACCTCCTGATGAGTCGGTGAAAGTCCGACGAAACGGTTTCGAACTGTCATGCTTCCTTTTGTGGACTTGTCTGTCCATGGGTGTGCAGAGTGGGTTCTGTCAGGGGTCTGAACTAGACAGATTGCTAGGATTTCAAGATTGGCGTGGTAAAGTCGGCCACTTTTCTCAAGGGTTTCGCTAACTTTGGGCATGCTGGGGAGTCCTTATCCATCAGTCGAATGCATCGTTGTCGAGGTTCAACCTTCTGACGAGCTGGCAAAAGTTCGAGGAAATGTGCCACAATCACCGTTTATTTGTGGAGCAGAAGCCAGCTACGATACAGTCAACTTCCGGGCAGACATATCAGTGCTCCATTTCTATCCAGCATCCAATGTCTTCAAGTCAGAAACAGTATGAAGGTTGCGATTATAAGTGAGGAGACATGCACCAATGGTGTAGTTCTTGCATTGTCTTCCCCGTAGTGCAATGAGATCGTTAAGCTCCACAGGTTCCATGGTAGGGGGATGGGCATTGCGGTCTCTGCAGACTGCACTCCACCGCACACTGGAGAACAAGCACGGTCTACTCCTCCAAGTAACTCACAAGAAAGAGAGCCACCATGCCCTCTTCCTCCTCTACTTCCCCCTCTTCTTCATTGCTGTGATCATCAGCAACACACTCCTGATCAGATTGGTTGCCACGGATACCACACCGCGCTGGCTTCCCCTTCTCCACTGCTGTCTCCCAGACGTTGACCTTGGTTGTATATGGTCAGTTTGATCATTGCGTCCTCTTCCGGGGGTTAGAGACCTTCTCCACCACCATTCCTGCAATGTCAGGTAATGGTATTGCTGCAACACATCCTGGCCAGGAACCCATGTAGTGATAGTTTCAATGTTGCTACTGCCCTGTGTTTAAGGAGCCCATTGATCTCATTGTTTTACGGTGAGGCCAGTGTGTGTTCCACGCTATTAATGCATGTCTCCTCACTTGTCATCGCAACCCGTATACTGTTTCTGACCTTGCAGACATCATCTGCTGGATAGTAGTGTAGCACCTATGTCTTCCCGGACGATGACTGCATAACAGCAAGTGTGAATATGGAAGTGCTGTCCACAGCCACTCACGCAATATACTGCTTCTTCACTCAGACCAATGTCACTTGAGCCATCAATGGAAGTGCTGTCCACAGCCAGTCACATAATGTACTGCTTCTTCACTGAGGCACCACATAGCTCTCAGCTACACAAACATGGCGACCCTTGCACCACTCAGTGCAATGGCGGACTCAGCAAAAGCATCATAGTCATGTCAGAATGTCCACATGGAAAGAATCCCTACACAAATAGAAATCGCTAATGTGAGAATTGGGCGATCTGGGCGTCCCACGGTCCTACCGGCCCGACAGTCCGGATTTCCACACGATCTTAAAGTCTTAAGATCCCGGGACGATCCGAGTCATCGGCCCGGTAGGACCGCGGGCGGCCTGGATTGTCGCGCCCCGTCGTAAAAGAATTGCCCCAGCACCTGCCGCCATTGGCCCATTGCAGGGCCGCCACTTCCCGTCCGCCTCCTCCCGCCATCTCCTCTCTCGCTTTCCCCCCCGCCTCCGCCATTTCTCCTCCGCCTCCAGCACCTCCTGTCCGCCTCCTCACATCATCTCCTCCTGCCATCACCTCTCCGCCTCCACCACCTCCCGTCTGCCTCCTCCCGCCGTCTCCTCCTGCCATCTTCTCTCCGCCTCCGTCAAGTCCCGTCCGCCTCCTCCTGCCATCTCCTCTCCACGTCCGCCCACTTCTTCTCCACCTCCGCTCTGGCCTCTGATCAGCTGTCCGCACATCCGCCATCCCTCTGCCC